CTATTTCCGCTGCCGCTTGTTAGGTCAGCTCTGCTCTGCTTCACGCTCTCACCACTGCTTTCCCCCCTTTTGGTTCCTATTAAACTTTTGGGCTTCAAGCTCTCGCAATCCTGCTAGACTCTGTGTGGGTGTATGGATGTTGGTGTGAGTGAGGGTCGGAATGCGCATAAGTAAAGCGAAATATGAAGATGACTTTGGGACAGTCAGTGCCTGGAATTGCTGCTAGAACAAAAGTAAATGGAAGAAGGGGAAATATAATTGAGGCGGCTGCTCCCGTCAGCTTCTCGGGAATAACACTTCAAAAAATTGTTTAAATTGCGCAAATTGGCGCGTCTGTTGTCCAACTACGAACGCTTTCCAACACTAGCCGCATGCAACCCTGCACGCGCAGTGTGAAAGAAGGGAGACGGAAACTTACACTCACACAAACATACCGCTCGAACACGGGGAGCGATTTTTGTTATTATTGAACAGAAAGAACATCGCCAAAAAAAGAGTAATAAAATACAGCTTCCGAAGCTGGGTGCAAACGCGCGAGGTTGGTTAAAAATTGTAAATTGCTGTGCAATTGCTCTCAATAAGAGCGGCAGCGGCCCACTAGGCAAAGCCGAACAAAAAATTCTCGCGGGGGAGCAAAAAGGCAAATAGGCAAAAAGAAGCAGTAGCACCGCAGCAGCCGCAGTCGCAGCGGAATCAAAAGCAGCGCAGCCGCCGCTAATTGTCGCGCCGCTGTTGTCGTAGTTGTTGCTGTTCCCAGTGTTCGTGCGCTGCGTCGCAAAAAAAGAATAATTTTCCCCCAAAGGAAAATTCGAAAAGAGAATCAAAAAGTTACTTTTTTCACAAGTTTTCACGGGTTCGTTCTCTGTTCACGTACATGTGTGTGTGTGTGTGTGTGTGTTTTCGTGTGTGTGTGAAAGGCAAAGAACAAGGCACTAAAAGGCGCAAAGGAGAAGAGGAAGACCGAAACGAAGCGAAAGAGCAGAATGTGAAGGCGAAAGGAAAACTATTAAAAACGAACAAAAAGGTCAAACAAAAAATGTGTGAAAGAGAACCGAAAGAACCGAACAAATTGTGGATTAAAAGTGGGAAAACTAGCATGTGTCCGTATGTGTGTGCGGTGGGGGGAAAAGCTAAAATTAATTTTTTGTTTTTGTTACATTCGCGCTTGTGTGTGTGTGTGTGTGTGTGTGTGAAGACAGGGGATATGCATGTGTGTTTGGTGTGAGGAAAGATTTTGTAAAACGCATTTACTATCTATTCCAAATTTATCAATTAATTTGATTGTGTTTTCTTTTTATCCAAAATTGCAGTAGATTCAATTGCACAAAAAAGTGTAGAAGAAAGGAAAGTAGAAGCAGCAGCAGTACAAGGAAAAAACAATAAAGCGAGAGGAAATCAATACAAATAATAACAATAAACCAGTAAATAATAGAAGAAAGAACAGCAGAAGTGGGAGCCGTAGCGCAGCGGCCGGATCTGTGCATGTGTGTGCGATTTTGCATGTAGCATGTAGTATTGTAACAAACAAAACGAAAGGCGGTCAACAACAACATACAATAAGAAGACATAATGAAAGCAAATGAGCAAAATCAAGCAGCAGAAGCAGCAGCAGCCGCGTCCAACGTCGACGACGACGTAGCAGCCGCCGATGCCGCCGACGCATGGGAAGCACCGAAAACCGCATGACAAGGAAATGGAAAATTTTGTTGAAAATTCTTTGGAAGAGCGAACCAAAAACGAGAATCAAAAATAAACAAGAATTCAAAGTAAATCACAGAAACAGAGCAAGTAAATAATAAGCACCAGTCAGGCGCCACACCAGTAACAACAACTAAGAATCAGCTAAAGAAACAAAAGAAGAAGCAGAAGAATACGAAACGGCAGTGGAGCAGAAGAAGTAAAGCAGTGCAACCAAAGGAGTGAGACTAATAAAGCAGTGCATGAATAGGAATATAAGAAAAAGTGCAGGTCGAGGTGCAGTGCAAAAAGGAGCGGAGTTGGGAAGAAGAAGCAGGAGAACCTGCAGGTTGCGCCCCCTCAATACCTCACCCACACCCACATCATCTCACACACACAATCGTATCACCCAACCATCATCAGCAGCTCCGCCGCCCACTCTCATAGCAGGAGGACTGGGGGACAATACCATGGAAAGCAGTGCAACAAATGCATCAAGCAGCATCCACACAAGCACAAACAGCAGTAGCACTGCTCTGCCATCACTATTCTCCTCTGCCTCCGCCGTCGCTGCAGCAGCCACCTCAAAGGACATGGACGGACTGATTGCCATTAACGATAGCGCATTATCGCAACAAATCGAATTTATACTACAAGATGCTCCCATGGAGCAGGATGATGACCATCAACAGCACCACCACCGGCACCACCATCTCCACCACCACAATCAACATCAACACCATCAGCCGCAGGCGCAGCAGCAGCACCACCAGCCGCAGCATCAACAACAGCATCTGCAACCACTTCATCAGCTGGTAGTAGGAGTTGGAGCTGGAGCTGGATCTGGAGGTGGAACAGCGGCCAAGCTCGAGAATAACCACCCACCGACACCAACAACAACTGCAGCAACCGCAACGGCAACCAACAGTGCTTCCGTTTCCACCTACACCTCTAGCAACAGCACTAGCAACAATAGCAACAACAGCAACAACAATCACCTGGAGGAGCATCACCACCTGATGATCCAACAGCAGCAGCAGCAGCATCTGCTAAATGGCCGGCGCGTTATCATCCAGTCTACTGGCAACAGCAGCACGGCTGCAGTACTGGCCGCCAGCGACATCAAGGAGGAGGAGCTGGACGAGGAGGAAGAGGATCCCGAGCTGAACGATGAGAATCTGCAGGATATCGAGGAGGAGGCCCAGGCGGCCGAAGCCGACGAGGAGCCAGAGACGACAGCACAGCAGCATCCGCATCTTCAGACTCGCGTCAAGATCGAGGTGGAGGACGACGATATGCCCGAAGACGATGACGATGAAGACGAGGACGAAGACGAGAACATGTCGGTGGCCCATCTCCAGCGGCAGCAACTGGCGCAGGCACAGGCCCAAATTCAGGCCCAATTGGATTATCAACTGCAATCGCCGCAAGCGGGCGGGGCAGGTGCACAGCAATTGGTGCAACTGCCCGCCGGAAGTCTTATGAGCACCTCGAGCACCCGCACTATGACTGCTGTGCCCGTCACCGAGGCGGCACTTGTCCAGCTACAGCGCCGTCCCGTGTATATCAGCAATGCTGTGGGCGGCCTGTCCGCCGGCGCCACCTACGTACGGATGCCGGGATCGGCCGTGATCAGCCGGAGTCCAATGACGGTACTGAATGTGGTGCAACAGGCGGCTTCACTGCCCGCCACCCAATTGATACTGCAGGCCCAGAGCCCAACGCCTCAGCAACAGCAACAACATCAGCAGCAGCCCCATCCAGAGCACCAGCAGCAGCAGATGGCCATGAACCAACAGCAGCAGCAGCCACAGACACAATCGCAATCACAGCAGCCGCAACAGCAACAGCAGCAGCTACAGCTATCATCCCATCCCGTGAAACATCAACAATCATCGCCAGCATCCAGCTCTTCCCCATGTAGCAGTAGCGGTAGCAGCGGGGCCAGCAGCACGGGGGCCACCGCCAGCTCATCGAGCAGCTACCAGTGCATGGAATGCGTAGAGAAATTCGAATCGAAGGAACTGTTCGACATCCATCGCAGCGGGCATGCCAACAACATGAAGTGCGCAATCTGCAACATGGTGCTCAAGTCGCTCAAGAACTATGAGAAGCATTGCCTGCGTTGCAAGCCGTACGAATGCCAAATCTGCGGTCGGGTGGTGCGCTTCCGGCCCAACTTTATCAAGCATATGAGGGTGCATACGGGCCAGCAGTCGGAGCGGCACAAGTACAAGTGCGAGGTGTGCCACAAGGAGTTCATGAGCTTCGAGTACTTCAAGGTTCACAAGAAGATCCACAACGAGAATGTGAACCTCACCTGCGAGATCTGTGGCAAGGTGTTCAGTGCCCTGGCCTCGCTACGCGGACACTCGAAACTCCATTCGGGTGTCAAGTTGCACAAGTGAGTATCCTTTTTGTTTTATTTATTTATTTATTTCAATTAACAATTATCTGCTAATTATGGAATAGGATAAAAAAAACAAACTAATTAAAAAATTAACTAATTTTGTGTACTAATTTGTATCGATTTCTAACAAACTTTATGTGCCCTCGCCGCTTCTTTTTAGATGCGATGTCTGCGGCAAGGGCTTTGGCCAGCGCTACAACCTGAAGATCCATGCCCGCACCCACACGGGCGACTTTCCCTTTGAGTGCAAAATATGCAAGAAGAAGCTCCACACGCAATCCTCGCTGCAAACGCACATGCAGGTCCATCTCAGGGATCAGCCAACGGCAGTAGCCACGCAGCAGGCAAAGGCAAGCAGTGCCAATGCCAACAGCCAGAACGGGGGAAGCACCACCAATACTATCATCAATACCAATACCACCACCGCGAGCACCACCCACACCAACACCAGCATCAGCAGCAACTCGAGCAACAGCAACAGTGCGACATCCGCCACGGCCACAACGATTGTCAAATTGGAGCCGCCAAGCGATCTGGATATGCCCAGCACTAGCACAAGCAATAGCAATCAGCTGCAACAGCAGCAGCACCACTCTCACCAACAACAGCAACAACAGCAGCAGCAGCAAATGGAATTGGACGACCATTCTGGCCTCAGTGGGGACGAGGATGTGAACTCTTCCTCGCATATTGTCAACTCAACCACCAATCGCTTGACCACCGGTGAGGACTCATCCAATGAGTCCTCGAATGCCTCGCTACACAATCAGCCGCACTCCTCCTCATCCGCAGCCAGCATCAGCTCCTCGCATTCGCCATCTATGCTGCAGCAGCAACAGCTGACACCAGCTGCATCATCGCAGTATCTCATGTCCACGCCCTCACGGACGATTGTCATCAAGAACTACATGCAGCAGCAACATGCTGGAGCGGGTCAGGGACAGCAACATCAACAGAACGCATCCGATCAGGGTGCTGTACTCCATACACAGGTCATCCAGAGCGGTGCAGGCACCAGCAGCAACAACAGCAGCAGTAGCAGCAGCAATGGCAGCGGGAACGCCATCGTTAGCAATGGTGCACAGCAATTGATACGCAAGACGCCCATCATTCATCACTCAGCGAGTGCCAGTGGTACGCTCTGCTCTGCTCTGACCAGCGTGGTACAGCAACAGTTAAATACAGCAGTCGGAGGTGAGTTGGGTTAGCCCCCTCGTGGAGGCTTTTAAAGGGGCGTAAATAAATTTCCATTTATTTGTTCACAGTTGGTTCGCCCGCTCAATCGCCACAGTCATCGTCGTCAACGTCTTGCTCCTCCACCACTGTGCTGGTGTCAAAGGCCACGGGTGTGCCCCTCTCGATAGCATCTTCGGCAGCGGCGGCGGCTGCACTGGCCGGTTCCACCATCATACGTAGCACACGCAATCATCATCATATACAGCAGCAGCAGCAGCAGCAGCAGCAGCAGCAGCAGCAGCAGCAGCAGCATAGCAACAGCCAGAGTCAGCAGCAGCAGCGTGGATCAGGAGCTGGCACGCAGCAGCGCAGTAACCACCGAAACCACCACCGACGTCGTCATCTTGCTGACATGGATGATGATGACGATGACGATGAGGACGAAGATCCAGCCTCAGCAGCCGCTCAATTGCAGTTGCAGCGCCATGGCCAACATACGTCAATGTCCCCCGTCAGCCCCCATCACAACCAGCATCAGCAGCATCATCATTCACATCATCAACAGCATCCGCAGCTGCATCATCATCATCACAATCATCATTTCGATGATGATGATGATGATGAGAAATCATCACCGTCCCTGGCCACAGCGGCAATCAAGGTGGAACCGAATCTCTACTCTTCCGGCTCAGGCGACAACTCCAACGATATGTTCATCAAAGAGGAGGTGATGTTTGAGGACTCGGCAGCCCCACACTCACCACAATCGCCGCCAAGCTCAAAGTTTCGCATCTCGAACTTTGATAGCGATCTGGTCGATCATCATGTCGATTTAAATCACTCGCTACCGCCGTATGGGAACCTGTTTGAGCCGCACTCAATACCCGACAGCATACCCGTGCAACTCTATCCGGATGATGATGATGACTTTCGGCTGGACCACAGCTCGCTGGGTGGACTGCATAACACATCGTCATCGACAACCGATGGGGACTTTATCAAAAAGGAATGGGTTTATGGCACCGGCACCAGTTCCTATGCCATGAATGGCAAATTCGATGATGACAGCGATGCCCTATGCGATGCCGCTAATTTCATATACAATTGAGAACGTTTTCTCGTAATTGTTCGGAAGGAGCGACAGGAAAGGAAAACGAAAGGAAAGGTACAGGATATGGAAATGCATACGCACATTTTGGCAAGACAATTGCTTGGATATATATACATATATCTCTCTCTAACCCACACACAAAAACAACATAGAAGATATGTATAGATGTATAGATATATATATAGTATATATATATATATGTACTCTATATATATATATATAGAGTACATGCCACACACACCTCTAGATAATTTGCTATCTCTGTGTTGCGCTCGTGATGATCTTAACGTGATCTTAAGTCTAAATATGTGTAGAGTGTAGAATTTTGATATCTCTCTCTCTATTTCTCTCTGTTTTAACCATATTTTCGACCGCCCCAACCACCCAATTTCCTGTGTGTCGCTCTAATTCTATGTGTGTCGTCATTTTTGCAATAACTCTCTCTGTCTCTCTCGATCTCTCTCTCTGTCTCTCTCGATCTCTCTCTCTCTCTCTCTCTGTTGTAGTTTTTTTTGTGCATATTGACCTCTCACTCTAAATCGCTCTTGATATATTTTTCCGTCTCTGTCTGTCTCTGTCTGTCTCTGCTGTCGCTGTCTTATTATCTGATGTTTTGAGTATAGAGTCCTCTACTCCACCCACGAAACACCACAAATTAAATAAATCCACTGCTCTTCTTTTTACAAGGATGTGTAGTGTATACGAGACCTGATCCTCCCCCTTCACCCACATCCTTCTCCTTTTGACATCTGCTAAGAACAAAGATAAAACAATCATTTTAATTATTTTAAGTTTTTTTTTTGTTTGTTTGTTTGAGAAACCTTTATATATATTGCCAGCATGCAGCACACTGATAATTGCAAGATGGAGTAATATGTACTATATATAATTTTGTATACGATTAAATCCTAAGTTTGATTAGTTTTTGCATTTGATCTCTAACTTCCACTTTAATTTGGCTTCAATATTTGCAACCCAAAACGAAAGAAATGTAGTTCCTGTTTAATGGCAAAGAAACTTGAGGAAATCGTATGATTATTATTATATATATAAAACAAATTGATTGTACGTATAAATATTTGGGTTGTGCTGGCCTGCTCTATATGGAAATAACTCTCATTCTCTGTGTCACTTCGAAAAAGATTGTTCAGTATTTTGATCCAAAAAAAAAGAACAACAAAACAATCGAAACTGAAAGCAAAATCTATACAGTCGCTATATACATGTACATATAACGAATGTGCGTGCACTCTGATATGATTTAATTCATTTTCGATTAGATTTTTGGTTATTTGACTTACCTAAAGCGCAGTATTTGTTTGGTCCTTTTATTAGAGAATCCATTAATCTTTTTTTGTTTTACAACATAAACGCACACACATCCTAATATATAACTTTTAGATTTTAATGTAATTAGATACTCTTTTTTTGTTTTTTTTTTGTTTGTATAATTTGTTTAAGAATTCAGTGCTCGATTTGTGTCGCCGCTTGTATAACAGCGCCGCTACCTTAAAAACTGTTTTAATGTGCAATCTCTCGCTTGCCCCCCCTAACCACAAAACCCCCACGCCCCCATCTCACACGAACCCTTAACTAGTTGCTAAGTTCTTCAGGTTCACACAATTAAATATATGCATAAATTTATCTATAATCTTGCATGTATGATTTGGGTTATACATATGTATGCCTACAGATAAACTGTAGCTAAGCGCAAGCGTCTGCCCCTGTCCCTCTACTCATTTGTGTGTAGTCTCATAAGCTGGAAGAGCATTCTTTTAGCCCTAGCTTTACCTTAACACACGACAATGCTTGTAAAAACTTATAAAAAAAAAAGAAAACAGACCACACACTCTACATATAATATGCATAGATAGAATTGTAGCGTTAAAAATTTTAATTTGCATTTACATTCATATTCTTTGTGTACTCTTTTGTATTCTTCCTCCTTCGTTTGCCGAGAGACAAGCAATTACAAATATTTTAAGCAAAAAAAAAAAAAAGAAAATCAAACAGAACGCAACACATGCATATATTTAAATATATTGAGCAATGTATATGGGATCGGATCGGATCGGAAGATGAAGATGCAATAAGAGGAGTAAATTAAACATAAACTTCTATCAAAAGCATTTAATGTTAACAAAAAATAAAGAAAACAAACAAAAAATTCATAATAAATCGATATAAATTAATTACAAATATATAAAGTATACAAATCGAATGAAAATATTAGCCAACAATTTTAAAATGTAGCTGAAGAATTATATATGTATTTTTTTTTTTTAAATACAAGTTGGTTTTTTTTTTAGAAGATACAAATTGAACTAACCCCTCCCCACCATCAATTGATTTCATGCATTTTAGCTGCTGCTTTTTTTTTGCGCATCATATAAGCAAAAATGTTTATTTTTGGTAATTGTTGTTGCTTGCCATTTTGTTTGTTACTAAAAGAAATATATTAAAGAGTACATTAAGTACACACATACAAACAAACACACATACACATGTTCGTGTAGAGAAAAGCTCAAAGAAAAAAGGGGAAAAAAACGGGAAACGTTTTAAAATTTTTAAACCTGACTATGAATTTGTCTTCCGCACGCACGTTCAAACAGTTGTTCGATGTATGTACAAATTTGCCAGTCGTTATGATATCGATCACAAAGGCGATTGACAATATTGCATTGCATTTCCTGGGAGATTGCCAGCAAGAAAGCAGAACGAGACATGAAAAAAGTGACAGAAAAATGCGTAAGAAATGTGACCACTACCCCCGCCTAAGCCCCTTTCCACCAACTCATTTGACGCCAGGTCTCGGAATAGAAAATTGAAGAAACCCAGAGAAGAAGTTATAAAGAAAAAGTGTTAGGGAGTTCTTCCAAGTCCCACACCCCCCTAGGAACACCCGTAACAAAATCTCAGTTGAACTAATGAAACAGAAGCAATTTAAATTAAAATAAAAGTTATACATTTTTGTACATTTGAAAACTGAAATAGAGTTACAAAACAAAAGAAAAACTATTTTATATACCAAACAACAAAATGAAAAACACGATCGAAAAACAACCAAACAAAGGAAACGCAAACAAAATTTGCTCCACAACAACAACAAAAACAAAAAACAACAACTTGAAAAAACAACAACAAATGATGTAAACTTTTAACATTTAAAATCTCAACGACTGCGCACACAGCAACAAAACAAATTTTTTTGTATTATATTGAAAAGAAAACGTGAAGGAGAGAAAGCCCTACCTAAAAGTAAGAAAACCGAGAGAAAAAAAAAAACGGGGAAAATTCAGAAGAGAAGAGGCGATGGGTAAGATGGAAAGCAAATAAAGTGAAATATTTTTTTAAGTGTAAACCAGGCCCGTTACACGGCTTGGGCGCCAAATTTTCTGCAATAAAAACAAACAAACATTAAAATGACAAGAAAATATACAAAAAAATGCAAATATTGTAAACTTTATAGGCATATATACACAACACACACAAACGAACACAAATAAAAATACGCCACACTGAACTTATTGTTAAGCTGCTGTTACACGATACATTTTCCACCGACAGCATTGACAAAAGCATCTCACCGATGAAATATAACCTAGATATCTTAGATAATCGCTGCCTTCCACTTCCAACTGCGAAATAGAAAATGGGTCTTTAAGATGTTCACGAATGTGTGAAAGCATGTGTGAGAGCGAGTTTTGTGACAAACAATAGCCGGATTGTAAAAGATGTATTTATAGGTGGAAGAGGTATCGTTTAACAACAGCCGTAGGACAGAAAAAGTATGGAAGAGTTTGGGTAGAAGTTAGGCCAGGAGTAGAGGAGGAGGAGACAGCTTTGAACAGCTTCAACAGTCCAATCACACAAATAAAACCGTATATATATATATTTGTATACGTATTCGCAGAACTTCCTCAGAGATCTGGCAAAGAACGTACGATTATTTTTCTTTGTGAAACAATTTATATTTTTTAGGCGAAAAAATTGTTGGTAATTAAACACACTTACACATGTATAGATGTATTTTAATGCATGAATAGATATGTCTATATATTATGGCCCTAGAAGGAGAAGAGAAAAGTAGCACCAGGCCTGGGCCTAAACACTTATTCCTCTCTTGGTTGAGCCGGTCCAGGTCCACACACAGAAACAGATTAAATGTCATAGATTTTGTTCTTTTTTTTAAACATAAATGTACCTAAAAAGCAAACAAAAGCAAAGATAAAAATAGTTAAAAAGAATTGGGAAAAAAAATCAAGAATAATTCCAATTTAAAAAATGATTTTTCGATTCGAAATGGAATAGAAATTTTTGGCATCTTTATAGATCGAAGATATATCCACATACAATATATGTGAATATATAGCCGCATATATTTATTTATATATTTCTATGTGTCGTCCCCCTCCTTGTGTGTAATTTTGCAAACTCGAAATTCTTAGAAAACAAATGAGCAAATGAGAAATTAACCCAAGAAAATGTTTTAATAGGAAAGAATGATTTGTAATGGAAGAAACAAATTTGTTATGCACAAAATTAAGCAGAAGAGCCGATATTTTTGTTTAATTTACGAATTTGTTAAAAAAAGCAAAAATTTGAAAACAAAAACAAGATATACAAAATAAGAAACCCAATGAAAAACACGACTTTTTAAAGCATTTTCGAGAAATATTGAGGAGTAAAGGAATAAAACCGAAACCGAACAATTTCAATCTGAACAACAACATAAAGCCCACGAAATTATATATATATATATTAATAAAAATAAAATTAAATAAAATATATATATATATTTAAATATATTATGTGTAACAAAATGGTAAAGTAAATTAAACAAATCGTATTTATATACTATGAATGTCTAGTCGTATTTTCAGTATTATGTAAACCTACCCCGATCCCACTCCCTGTCCCCCACGAAACCATACTCCAGGAAAACACACAGTAAAAACTATTAAAAAATAAAAAATAAAAGCAAAAGATATATTTAGAAAGCTAAGCTAAATGAATGTGAACAAACATAAAAACAATTTTTTGTAATGAAAAATTAAAAAACTACAAAAAAAATATGTGTGTAGTGTGTACAATAAAAAATAACAACACAAAATGAAAGAAAACAAAAAACAAAACAAAAAGAATGGTGGAAAAATGTGAAAGTTAGGAGAAAAAACAATATGGTAAACAATTTTTAGAAGCATTTTTAACACATACAAAACCTAAACTAAATGTTTACAAATATATCGAAAGTAACGTATATGTATATATAAATATACACCTATATATATGTATATGTATATAATGCAAGTGGCAGAGAAAGGAGAAAAATTTAAACGAAATGTGTCTGTTTTTAGTGTTAGATTCTATGTAAGACAAAACCCACAATAAAACATAACAAACAAATCATATATATGCATAGATATATATATATATATATTATATACATACATCCAGAAAAATCATTAAAAACT